TGAGAATCTGCACCCCCCTCTTTTCACGGCTCCTAAAAATCAGAAGTTTGTTTTCCTGCCACACTGAGGTTGGAACCATACCCAAGCTTCAAGCTCAGCCTTAGAAAAGTCCTGAACAGTTTAAAGGATCAAGATCCTCCTTCCAAAGTACCTCTTGGAAATAAGACCTTCTCTTTCCTCCCACATACTCTCCCCTTCCATCCAGTGTGGCTCTTGTCCCCTCCAAAACTTTATGTGGGTCTCTTACGGCCATCCCAGCATTGCTGGTTGTTATTAAATAAGAGTTCATTCCTGGGGGTGACAGTAAAGAGCCCTGTTGGGTCATGCCTCTCATCTAGTGTTCTGTCTTGGGTAGTATCCAGCCATGGGAGGGATGACTCGCTGTGTCTTGTGTGTGTCTTTGATTTGTTAAGAGATGGTAGCTGTTTGCACTGCTAGGAAGCCCAGCCCCTCCTGTGGTTGCTGAAAATGGCACTGTGGCAATCTCTTAGAGAGGGATAGGCCTGTTGATATACCTGCAGCGAGATAGTATAGGGGCAATAAAATGACTGCACCGAAACTATGCTTCATTCTTGGTGCCAGAAGCTATACTTTATAGGGATTAATTTCTGGGTTTAAGGAGTAATTCAGCCGTGGCATATCTTGGTAGGGTTCTGGAAGGATTACAGATTCCGAATCAACCTGAATCGGTATATCAGAGGTATGAATTGACTGCATTTGCTTTGGAATTTGGGGAACTTCCTGAATTCCTTCATCCTCCCCAAACCACCATTTAGGGAGCATTAAACCAGCATTAAACAACATTGTATGAATGTGACAACATGGGGAGTACTGATCAGCTCTTTTTCCTTGTGTTGCTGTTTAGCTCCATGGAGGGAAAAGGGTCATGGAATGCTTGAAAAAGGCACTGAAGATAGCAAATCAGTGCATGGATCCCTCTCTGCAAGTTCAACTCTTCATAGAAATTCTAAACAGATATATCTACTTTTATGAAAAAGAGAACGAGGCGGTAAGGAGCATGTCTGTACACACTGAAACAGCACTTGAGTTTTGCACAAATGTGCAAGGTCTGTGGCCACCCATAATTCTCAATATTTCTACAAAAATCACTCCAAAGTTTCCATCAGAATAAAAACCTTAATGTGACCAAAAGAGGGAAAGTTCTTCTCCCCTCCCCTCACAAAATGGGGCAATCTTTTGACCTATATTAAAGTTGATTAAATTTCTAATGATCTCTTACGATGTAAGAATGCTTGAGAGATGCTAAATTCAGATTTGGGGCTTGCCTTGGCACTATCCCTTTGTCTGAAGCCCAGCTGCTTTTCACAGCACAGCCCTGTCTTAAGAAGTCAGGCTACATGTTACACTTAGCTATATTTGATAAAATCTTCGTGGTCCTTCACTTCTCTGCAGAGCATTGGGAAGTAGCATGGTGGGAGGGCTTCTCCTCCACATTTCCCGACAGCTTTTCTACCATTTGAGAACTCTGTATATGCAGATGCATACCTGAGGTTGAACTGGAAAAAAGACTCTGGGATAATGAATGGTGTGAAAGAGATTAAGCAGGTTACAAAGTTGTGGACCCTCATTATGGCTTCACATGCATTTGCACGCATTTAATTAAATCTTCATAACCATCTTAAGGTCTTCTGTGCCTTCTTCCCCTCAGTAATAAGCTGCTAAAATCTGATATGAGATTGGCCAGGCGGCCGTTGGGTGAATTGGCACTAAAAGATTCTGCCAATCTCTGGCTTAACTGATTGCATTCATATATTTTGTTGTGAGTGCATGACTTGAAGCATTTCAGTTGTTGCTCAGCAACAACCCCCAGCAACCCCAGTCAACATGGACAAGAATGAGGGATGCTAGGAGATGTTCTGCAACATCAGGGTGGTCTTGCAGCAAGCCACATCATGCAATGTGTAAACCCAGTCTGTTTGACACACCTCTCTTTTTAAATATAGGTGACAATTCAGGTGTTGAATCAACTCATACAAAAAATCCGGGAAGACCTTCCTAATCTTGAGTCGACTGAGGAAACAGAACAGATCAACAAACACTTTCAGAACACACTGGAGCACTTGCGCTTGAGGAGGGAATCCCCCGAATCTGAGGGGCCAATCTATGAAGGGCTGGTCATTTAAATGAAAGCCCCCCCCATCCCATTCTGTGGGCACTTGTCCTCTGTCTTTCCATGTACAACACACAAGGAGTTTTGTTGTTATCATTATTCTTACATTAGAGATCATAGACTTGTGCCTTTTGGGAGTGCCAAGATAGGCTTTCGGTTCACTCTTCTTTTTGTGTGAATGTGCAAATATGTTCCAGGCTGCTTCTTCCAAGCACTTGGGATTAAGTATTCCTGTCAAAATTTCCAAGCAGTGGACTAGCAGACCAACAGAAAATTAGCATGACTGAATTCATTCTTCTAAAGATCCATGTGGTGTGTATCTCTCCCCTTCTTCTGCTCCCTTGTGTTCTGATTTTCTTTCTTGCTCTTCTGTCCCCACATCCCCACCCAAAAGCCATATAATCTCTAATGCATCTTTCCATCTGCAAGTGTTACTAAGGCTATGGGCTGTTGTTGTTTTTTTTAATAACATCATTTCATTTTCTTGTATGTTGGATTCCACTTCCTCCTTTTTTCATATTTGTCAGGGTTCTGTCAGATTCCCTCACCCCAGAATATCTTCATGCATGTATTTGGAATTATAAAGCACCATTCTTTTAAAAAAGGAAAGAAATTAAACCAAGAAAGTTATATTTTGCATATGGGGACTCAGTGACATACAGTGAGGGGTCGATAAAGTGCACAGGGCATATTTATCAAGATAATAGTAAGAAAATTGAAAACAGATGATGGTCTATAGAGTATATAACCTTCAGTACTGTCAAATTAGGGGGAAATGCAATCTGTATCCTTAATTTGTGCCAGTATAACAATAAAGTTGCTATTAATGGGTATGGCCTCAACTGTCTCCAGTTGCATTTAATGATAACTCTAGGTCTTTTTTTTTTTTTTTCAAACCTGAAGGAAGGGATAGGATAAATAGACTGAATTCACAGCCAAAGTAAGGCTTGTTCAGTTTTGACTTAGGATGTTGTGCAAACTCAGCCATTGTGGTTTATAAACCATGGATAAGCCCCAGGTAAGAAAACCAGGGCATTCTTTGAACTCCACTCTTCTCCAACCTGGCTGCTTCCAATTGCTGCTAGATTACAACTCTTGCCAACCAGCTAGCATGACTCAAGGTTAAAGATGATGGACATGGTGATCCCAAATCCCATCATACAGACAAAAACTTCCTCTGTCTGCCTTAGATACAGTTAGAAGAGTTTAACTGAACCAAATCAGTTGGATACAACCAACTGCAGCCAGGGAAAAGCAGAGATAGGCTATTGGTGTTACATAGCTAGGGAACCATTGTGAAGTTGCAAACATTGTATTAAACTATAACAGGTTTAGTTTGGATTTGCTGCAGAGAACAAGCCTCACTCTTACAGTTGGTATACATGGCTTCTAGCTGAATGTGACCACCATTAAGGAGTTTACCAAGAAGCCATTGGTAAACTAATGGCTTAGAGTGACATGTGAACCCAGTCAGCATGGTGTACTAAATGGATGACATTTGCGTAAACCAGGTAGAACCTTGTGGCTCTGCAGAAACCCTGAAGACTCTTGGCAATCCCATAGCCAGGAGTCTGGGAGAACAGCAGTAGTTCACCATCTGGAAGGCAAGAAGTCCCCACCTTTGCTTTAAGGCATGTTCTATCTCATGATGAGTCTATGTAAGTCATATGAGCAAAGAAGTGCCAGATGACAATTGTTGCCTCGGTATCAATCAACAGTATAACCATATGTGGCTCTTTCTAATCAGAAATCCTTCAACAAAAAGCTTTAGATATTTTAAACGAGCCAAGTTATAAATAAACATCAAAGAGACAGCTATAATTAATTGGCAGAATTTAGATAATGTCTTCAGATTTTTTTTTTAGTGTGTAATTTCCTATTTCCAGTATGGAGAACATCAACAAATGTTAATGTTCCATTTTAATCCAAAGGAAATCTTGGGCAGGAGAAATTTAATGTCAAATTTTGATATGTATAAAATGAAAAAGCAACATAAAGCAGATTCTTTCATTCTAAGATCTATATGGACTTCTGTGAAATCAGCCATATGCGCATTGATCATGTCAGTGATTTGATCATATCACTGAAATAACTGAAGGTTTTGTGAAATTCATAGCCATCTATCCAACTAACGGAATGCTGTATTAAGAGTGTTGGTACAGCAACCTTGGCTGGTTTCACACATGCTAAGCAATGCATTATTCAATAAGTTATGGCTTGCTGTGTTAACTTGAAGTTGGCTGATGAAGTGTGTCCTATTTTGCACACCTAACTTTGCAGCAGGTTTGCTTATGAGTGGCATTTTGCTATGTGGGGTTGGAATAATTCCCTGGAACTGAGTAATCGGTGGGAAAACACAATTGCACATGAGCAGGATCCATCTACAAACTAGAACGTCTAGTGTAGTGTTGTCCAAACTTGGCCACTTTAAGATGAGTGGACTTCAACTCCCAGAATTCCCCAGC